TAGCCATTTACTCTTGACTGAATGGATTATATTTCTGGTAGCTGAAGATGGTTGTCAAAACAGGTATTTAATTAAACCTGTGGTTTTGGTTTGGTATAGTTTAATGAAAAAGCACATATAATTTGTTTTTTTTTTTTGAAGGATTAATTCAATTTATTGATATTTGTAATTATTTTGTGATAAGACTCCAAAATCACAAGCAGTGAAATAAAAAAAATGAAATAGGATCACATCATACATCATGGAACTTCCACACAGCAAAGGAATCCACAGGCTTCTGAGAGAGAGAATTTATAGAACAGGGTAAAGTGTTTGCAAAGGTACAGCCATAAAGTGTTTTACATTCAGAATGTACAAAATATTAAAAAAGGATAAGCTGTAGAATAACTACATAGCAATTAATTTAATACTTCAAACAAAGAAAATCTCTAGTTAAGTTTGCTCTATATTTAAAAAGCTAATTAATTAGGCCCCAATGATTTGAGGACACTTAGGGTTATACTGTTCAGCTCCAGTGTACCAGTTACAATTGCAAAGAATTAAGGGATGTATTAACAATAGCTAATGAGTTTGATATAGAATATGCTCACTACCTCACCTACATCTTTATCTGCTATCATATATAAAGCATTTGTTTGTGTTCTGCTAGCAAAGTTTCATTGTTCAATGAACTAATATTTTAAGTCATTTTAAAATTTATATGGTCATCGGATTATTTTTTGAAGCTAAACATTGTAAAGGCTCCTACATGCTGTTATAATATTTTCTATACATTTGTGGCTTAACACAATCCAAATTGATCACATTATAGTTTTGGAGAAGCACAAAGTTGTCTGGATTTTAATTAATTTTCCATTGCATCATTTCTACTCATCTCACAGACATCAAGTGTGAATCCATTTCCTTGCTTCACCAGACTCTAAGAATAACACATTTCTTTGATTTATGATCATCTTTCATCTTCCAGCACATATAATTTGGACTGGCTGATTCTTGTTATAAATAGGCCTTGACTTTAGGAAGAGACCACTGGAAAATGAAAGTCCATTCAGCTATGGAAGTAGATTAATGTAAGAGACAGAGGATCTTGTTTTACCCGTTTAAGTATGAAGAATTTTCATTCTATGACATTGATAAGCCGGTCTATTAGAAGTTCCTGCAGAAAATCTGTAGACAATATATATTAAAGCTAGGACTTCATTTTTCAATTTTGAAAGATTGGGTTAATATAATAAATATTAGGAACCATTTACATGTTCTTAATTTCACTAAGGATAGACACATTTTCACTCTTTGCTGTTTGAAATCAAACTGGATTTTTAGGAAAGTTAAATCTAAAAGGGCAAGGTGATTTTGAGTTCTGTTGGGCGATCAGATTATGCACATTAATATTGAACTACATTTCTGTTAGTGTTATGTGAGACATAATATAGGTTTTCTAACTGTATTTTATCCTTAGAACCAGTGCTGTAAGGTAGATGGCATTACGTTCATTTTTACAAATAAGTGAACTAAAGCACTGAGAGGTTAATAGGTTCAAGATTATTAAGCAGTTAAGTCAAAACTAGAGGGTTCTGGTTTCAAAATGTAGTTGAGGTTTGTCTTTAGCATTTTCCAGCTTCCTAGTACTCTTCTCTTATTTTCCTGATATGATGCGATTAAAAAATGGACTTGAGAGGTCAACAGTGGTAAATTTGGTGGGGCTGTGGTCAGGAAGCTACTTGTAGGGGCCGGTGAGATTGCTCAGCAGACTAAAGCGTCTGCTGCTAAGGCAAGCTTAGGCTAGCACAGGGACTGCGCTTTGATTCCTGCACCACATGCCATGCCAGCTCCACCCCTAGAGCAGGCTGAGCTGGCCAGAGTCAGCACTGGGGAGTCTGAAAGCAGGAGGATTACTACAAGTCTGAGCTGCGTAGTGAGACCCTGCACCAAATAAATATAATAATAATAATAATAATAATAATAATAATGAATCTACTTGTAATCTCAGCACTTTGGGAGGCTGAGGCAGAAGGATCACAAGTTCAATTCACATCTGGGCAATTTAGCAAGACCAGGTCTCAAAATAAGAGGAAGAGAGGCAAGGGGGTGAGCCTGGGAATGTAGCTTAATTGTAGGGCACCTTTATGTTTGATCCCCAGTACCAAAACAAAGGAAAAGAGTTATGCTTTTCTAAATCAAAGTTTTTACTCAGTGAAGTAGCAATAATAATTTTATTCTCTCTTTGGGTTGTTGTAAAGTTTTTAGAGAGAAATTTCTTACTACAGTATACGATACTTAGAAAGTTTTAAGTAAACGTTAGTTCATGTTATTTTCAAGTGCCCATTTCTCTGGCTGCTAGAATCCTCAAATTCAGTTTATCCCGGAGGCCTGTCTTTTCTTGGGCATCTTTCTTTAAAATTGTCTTCTTTTTTTTCACACCATAAAAGCTTATGTTTTGACTTTTACTCCTTCACTATGTTTATTTTCCTTGGGTCTTCTGATCACAACTATTCTTCGTATGAGTATGCTGGCCATTGCCAAAACTGTGGGCCTGCTCTAAACGTATGTCTAGAGATCCACATACCCAATTGCCTTCTAGACGTGTTCTGCCCAAGAGGGCTGAAGCACTCGAAATGGGGATAGTCTGAATTGTGATGTACTGTGACTACAAAAATACATAGTGGATTTTGAAGACTTTGCTAAGCAAAAAGAATGTAAAATACTTTATAATTTCTATATTTACATTTTGAAATTATATTTTTATATTGAGTTAAATAATATGTATTAACACTAACTTTAGTAGGGCTGGGAATATAGCTCAGCAGCACCAGCATCTGCCTGGCAAGCACAGGGTCCTGAGTTCAATTCCCAGTACAAAAAACCCACAAAAAACCCAACAAGAAAACAATATTCTAGAGATGTTCATTAATTCACACTAAATGAACGAGAACACCAACAGATTTTGAGAAAGAATTGGGTAAGTTGATTCTATCATTCATAAAAGAATCTAAAAGCAATATCCAGAGTAACAGCTAGAAAAGATCTAAAAATAATAGTAGGAGAATTACCTATTATCAAAATATACTGTTAAGAAATAAAGCAGACTAGTACTGGCATTTGAACAGACATACAGACAAATCAAACAGAATAAAACATTCAGGAAAAACCCATGAGATTTAGTGAATTGTAACATTGCAAGTCAGTGGTATCAGGATACCCTTTTCTTTCAATAAATGGTATATGATATTAGATAGGTATTCTTAAAAACCAGAAGTCCTACTTTAAAATAGAATTAATTCAGATGAAATAAATATTTGTATTTTTAAAATGAAACCATCATAGTACTATAAGAAAGCAGGAAATAATTCTTTTTAATATCTCTGAGTTGAAAGGAGTAACTACCACATGATAAAAATTGAGAGGCCATAAAAGAATGGACCAAGCAAGGTACTAAGAGTAAAGGAAAGAAATGTATGAAACTAAGAAATATTTAAAAAGAGAAAAAAGAATTTTGCAACTGATGGGTATGAATCAAAGGTGACGCCAACACTTCTCGCTTTGGGAATATTAAGTAACCCTGTCACTAAGGGCACAATGGATGCAGGGCGGGCAGAACTCTGGAAGGGAGAAAGACAGGAAGAATGCAGTTTTGGACTAGATGTTTTCAAGGTACTTGAGAGATACCCAGGTAGAAATGTCCAGAGCAGAACTGTTAAAAAAAAATGTAAAATGCAAGCCACATCATGTAGTTCTGTAGCAGCCACATTGTAATAAAGGAATTACTAAAGTGTTAATTTTTTTTTTTTTTTTTTTTTGGTACTTTTTTTTTTTTGGGCGGAACTGGGGATTGAACTCAGTCCCTTGCACTTGCCAGGGAAGCGCTTGGGCTGTTGAATTGTATCCCTGGCCCTACTATAGTTAATTTTAATACATATTATTTAATCCAATATATCAAATATTGTTTTCTTATCCAAGAGTGAAGTCTATTTTTGCTTTTATTCAAATGTTTGATTATAGTGTTTTGTCATGTACTCTGCCTTGGTTTTTAATGTTACCGTTATTTCTAAAAGGGTTATTTTTAATGCTTTTTTTGTTGATACCCTCAAAGGATTAATAGGTTGTGGTTTGTTTTTTACCTCTTTTTTGGTGGGCCTTAGTAATTTCTTGATTGAGTTATTATAAAGATTATTAATTGGCTTTTCTTCTATTTCACCACACTGTTGCTGTCTATTTTTCTTAAAAGCACAGGATATTTGTCTTTTGCACCTTTAATTAAAGTACTTGAGCTTTTAAAGTAAAGGTCAAATGAATAAATCTCAGACTCTCTGGAAGGACTTACAGGGTTCTGATTTGGCCATTAATGTCACATGTGGCCTCATTTTATTTTATTTTTATATTTTGGTAGAGTCTCACTATGCAGTTCGGACTTGTAGTGATCCTCCTGTCTCAGCCTTTCCAGCACTGAGATTACAGATGAGTGCCACCATGCCTGGTTTTGGCTTTGGGTTCAGCACAGCATGCGGTATTGGGGATCAAACTCAGGACGTTGCGCTTGCCAGGCAGGTGCTTATGCCACCAAGCTGTCTTCCCAGCCTTTTCTTTCTTTTGTTCATTTCTTCTTTCTCTCTCTCTCTCTCTCTCTCTCTCTCTCTCTCTCTCTCTCTCTCTCTCTCTCTCTCTCTCTCTCTCTCTCTCTCTCTCTTTTTTATATAGGGTCTTGCTGTGTAGTTCAGCCTGGCCTCAACCTCATGACAATCCTCCTGCCTCAGCCTCCTGAGTACTGGGATTATAGGCATGTGCCACTATAGCTGGCAGTGATGTAGTTCTGATATTCTAAATATCAGGTATATATAGCATACGTTATGTATATATCATATATACATAAACATATATACATGCATATATATATGTGTGTGTAAAATGTTCAGTCTGGGTGACTTCAGTCATACTTGTCACACACAAATTTAATTCATTAATATGAATGAAGTTATGAATTGACAAGTTGTTATTTTTTGTAGTGAGGATGAGGATGAGGACCTTCAGTATGCTGATCATGATTATGAAGTACCACAACAAAAAGGATTGAAAAAACTCTGGAACAGAGTGAAATGGACAAGAGATGAGGTAGTGATCTGGCGAGGTTTAATAATTTCATGCTTGTATTTGTCAATTTAAACTGATATAGTTATGAAAGGTAATTAAAAACAAAATGTGTGGAAAAGTTGTACATTCTTTTTCTTTGATCAGAGTGTAAATAACTTTGTTACTGTGACTGACAGAACAGTATAGTAAATGAAGACATTTGTGTAATAGTGGTGTTAGTTTCAAAAATGACCATGGGGATATGACTTAACAGAACTAGAACATTATCTATATTCAGGGGTAGAGGAAAAAAATGATGGAAAGCTTTTTAATTTTTATACTTGTTTTAATAGGATGATAAGTTAAAGAAGTTGGTGGAACAACATGGAACTGATGATTGGACTCTAATTGCTAGTCATCTTCAAGTGAGTAAAATGTTAAATTGTATTTCTAGCATAATATTCATATATTCTTGTTTCTTAACATGCTGTGAATGAGCAAACTATACTCATTTGAATTTTGATATTAACTGACTGGATTCAGAAACTGTTACTGAACATGTTCTTTTTACTGGTCTCAACATAACCTCAAAATAGAGACCAAATAAGAAGAGGATAAATTTTGGAGTTAACAGCTCTCCTAGCTTAGAAAAATTACTTAATCTCTTTGTCTTTAACTTCCTTATAATATGTATATGATAATATTTGTTTCTATAGTATTATTGTGAAAATTAGAAATAATATATGTTTATATAACATTTTCCAATTCTTTCAGAATCGTTCTGATTTTCAGTGCCAACATCGATGGCAGAAAGTTTTAAATCCAGAATTGATAAAGGGTCCTTGGACTAAAGAAGAGGATCAAAGGGTAACATGTTCATAGTATTTGTGGTCACTGTGCGGGTGTAGTAGCATTTTTCTTACTAATATCTTGTTTTAACTCAAATTTCAATCACTTGATTTTGTTCTTAAACCTCCTGGCTTTGTTCTCTTGAAGCTATGTACATGATTGAATGTTGATCTTTTTTAAAAAATATTTTTATTGAGAAACAAATAGCAATGAGACAGTTTCACAACCGATAACTAGCACATTTTCAATAATTAATACATTGTATATTGTTGTCTTAGTGGTTATTCATGGTACAAGATGCAGACCTGATATCCTGTCTCAAACACTATTAGAACAAACCTCTCTATTCATTGAATTAAGAGAATGGAGCTGTATATCTATCCTAAATATTTTGAGTATACAGATACAAAATGGTCATTCATTTGTATCCCCCTTTTTTGGTTAGTTTTGTCAGAGAAGGGCATTCTATTGTCATTTAAATACTGTAGGTGCATGAATTCAGCAAAATATCCCAATATAGTCCAATAGTCCATTATAGTAGTGGGTTTTCCATATGACTGTCAATGTCCGAAGTTGTTGACTTGAGCATTTTACAGCTCATCATCTTACTATGGCTTTACTTTTTATACTTCATTTTCATACTTTTCTGCTGGATGGTTAAGACCAAGAAAGAGCAAGACCTTTATAACAAGAAATGTAACTTTTGTATCTGATAA